GGGCAAAACGAGACCGACCTCGACTATTCTCAAACCTCAGGCGACGATGCGATGCATTCCAGCAGCAGCAGATTTTGCGAGTTCTTTCATCGCAGAAAGGGCGATTGCTGATGCGTCATTCTCATGATCAGGTACTTCCAAGGGCAAGGCCGGCTCCAAGCAGGCCAAGGCTGCGTCTAAGTCCGCGCTGAAGGGTGTAAGTGACCTACCTATAGGCTGTGTCTTGCGACATAAGTGACACGAATCTTGAAGAACAATTTGCTGATCATACTATTTCCCCAACAGGTTCACTCCCACAAGAAGACCAAGGTCCGAACCTCGACCTCGTTCCGCCGCCCCAAGACCCTCACTCTTGCCCGGGACCCCAAGTACCTCCGCAAGGCCATCCAGCACCAGCCCCGCCTTGATGAGCACAAGATCATCATTCACCCTCTCAACACTGAGAGCGCCATGAAGAAGATCGAGGAGAACAACACCCTCGTCTTCATTGTCGATGTCAAGGCCAACAAGGCCCAGATTAAGGCTGCCCTGAAGAAGCTCTACGACATCGACACCGTCAAGATCAACACCCTGATCCGGTATGTATCTGATGACGCAAGAAGTAGGAAACGACTGGACAGCTGCTGACATTGGTTGATAGCCCTGACGGCTCCAAGAAGGCCTACGCCCGCCTGACCCCTGATGTTGACGCCCTCGACATCGCCGCTACCAAGCTGGCTCTCGTCTAAGCGCTCTTCAGGAAGGATGATGGGCATGTGGTGATGATTTGGGATGGCTATGGGTATCAAAAAAAGGGAGTGGTTTTCAGGCATTCTGCAGGCGTCAAGGAGGATTCTTAAGCCTACGGGCTTCTACGGACTTTATACCAATGGAATGAATTGACAAGTCCATGTCCTCCCATGCCAATCCATCTTTTTGAACTCGTAGATGATGTGTACTAGCTTTGCCCTGTGAAACTACTGCTGCTCGGCCTGGGAAACCACTCGTTTTCTGCTGTAGAAGAGCAGCTTGGACCTCCTTCGGACTTGCTGCAGCGCTGCCCAAGGTCGGTTCCTTTATTATCACGGCAGTCTCCATGCGCTTTTCCGTGCCTTCACAAGAACAAGAAACTCTGATATACCACAGCGCCCGTCTGAGTATTCAGCCTCTGAAATATGTCCCGTCTACCGAGTCTGCAGATGCTTCACAGCCAGCGTGCTCAAATCCATGAAGCGGTCGACGCAGTTCGCCAGGCATGTCTGCTCGCCATTGTCCAGCGTGTTGTTCTTGATTGTGCCAGGCACACACTTGTTCCAGCAGGTTTGAGTCAGGTCGTGTGTTCCTGTACGCAAATTGTATCAGCAGTGCAAGAGGGGGCCAAAGTCAGGGTGGATGCGCGCATACGCTGCTGGATGCGAGCCTTTTGCTGCTCATTTGTAATGAATTGCTGAAGCTCCTGCTTGTCCTTGACGCTGAGCCGGTCGAGGTCGGATTGGTCGAAAGTTGGAGTGTCCATTTTCTATACGTGTGGAGTGGAGGAAGGATTGGTGTTGAGAGCGAGCGCGCGCGAGAGAGGGACAGAGACAAATCGCAGTAATTGAAGGCGTCGCAAGGCGATGTCAGAGACACTCAGAATTCTTTCCCATTTTTGGGTGCGCTAGCCAATGGGAATGTCTCCGACATAGGATCCCTGCCTCGCCGCGGCCGCGAGAGCTCTGCATACTACGCAGTAGTACGTGGGTACGAGGGGATTGATTATGTAAGTTGCAAGGACCCCCTGTAGGGATCAGGGCCCCGCACGCCATTCCGACCCCACCCCCTGAATATAATACTTCTAATGGATTATCAATTGTAGTAAGTCATCCGGTATATTGATCTCATCTAGAAGAAAGTGGTAGTGAACTTGACGAGCAGTGCCTTGGAGAGCGAAGTGAGAGCATAGGTAAAAGTTGTAATGGAAAGGATAAGTGAGGAAGTATTCATATAGGATCGGCCGCTGGCGCAAGGATGCCACTGTGGCTCACGTATTGTGAATGCACGATTCTTACCGTGAAGGGGATTTGGATTATTTCCAAGCCTGATCCCGTGTATTCTCCGCTGTATTCATCGTGATGTGGCTATATGAACATCGAGGCGCCCACGCGTGATATTCATCTCACAGTGCGGCCCTGTCGAGCTCGAATCGAGCTTGCTGCTCGACGAAGGTCTCCATCGTGGAAACAGTTGCACATGAGGTTCACGGTGGTTTGTAGAGTTTTGAACGGTTTGTTTTCATTGTGCTCATTATTCCAATGGTCAGCCACCCTCCTCAGTCCAACGTTTCTCGACCATGACCGGTTCCGCACGATGACTAGTTTGGACGTGTGATCGCCCAACTTTGCGTTGACCTTCAGGCAACGCCACGTTGGAACAGTATTGTTCCTGGGCCTTCTTCACGTGGACCTGGTGGGACACCATCACCATTTTGGAAAGCGTGGCGAAACGACTGTGGAAACTATCCTTCAGGCGCTCGTAATCGATCATATCCTTGCTGGGAAGAATAACAAAGAGAAGGTCTGGTGATTGCTTGGTTATGAGGAAAGTCCCGGGGGGAGTGGAGGGAGAGGGCAGAGGGAGAAGGTGCTCTTACCAATAAGTCGCCGGGACAGCGTGGCGGAACGAACCCAAAGCTCTTCTTCAAGCGATCGAAGGTAATCATGTCCTTGCTGGAAGGATAGCAAAGATCAAGTCTGGTGATAACTTGATTATAACAAACGTCAACCAAGAGGGTTGGGAAGAGGGTGGAGGAAAAGCGGGTAGAGGCAGGGGCGATCATACGGACGAGTCGCTTGAATTGGTTTCCAACCTCGTAGTACGCTTCCTTGAGCTGCTCGCTTGAGTGGATCATCCGCACGTCGTCATCTCTACCGTCATAACGTAAAACTCATGAGTGAATGTGAAGTGTGTTATAGAAGTACGAGACATGAACAGATAGACAGAGTCACGAAGTTGAAAAAGAGAGAGGTTTGTTGTTCTGTCGAAAAGTGACGTGAATGACGGCAGTCGATGGCCCTGTTCATTTCATCCGAACTATACATATATTACAACTCGCTGCCTCTTCTTCATGGTGGAGATGTGTCCTTGCCTTCGCCTCTGCTTTTCTGTATGGCTAGCAATGCCCACAATCACCACTCCCTTGTTCTATGCCGCACCCGTGAAGGCTTTTGTTCCAGCAATGATCCCTCCGCTGGTTCGAAATGGGAGGATCCACTTGTCCACCCCAATGATGGCCCGCTGCTATAGGCCTCGATTCGCCAGAGGTATTGAAGAGCAACGACGGACATAAAAGCCTCAGGCAGCAGCAAGACGAGCCGGAATCTTGATCTGGATCACTAAGCCGAATTCATCAATGAAGGCCATAAAAGACGACGGCAAAGGTGGCCGCACATATTCGGCGATAGTATAGAGGGCGTTGGGGAGCTTGAAGGCGTCAGGGGTGGGAGTGTCAGCGAGAGAGAACTCGCCCTCCCCAACCGGAAACAACAAGGTCGAGCTGCTACCATTGCCACCATTTTTGCCCAGGCCAAGGGCGCGGGCCTTGGCCGTGGCGGCCTCCAATTGGTTCACCACCTCCTCTCTCTTTTATTTCGAAGCGGCCTCCAGTTGGTTTATCACCTCCTCTCTCTCTTTTATTTCGAAGCGGCCTCCAATTGGTTCACCACCTCCTCTCTCTCTTTTATTTCGAACTGCTCGGGCAGGGTGTTGGCCTCCTCCTTAGCCTCGGTGGCGTCGGCGGCGAGTTTATCCGCCCGGGCCCAAGCTGCGGCGGTCTCTTCTGTCTTCGTCTCTGGCGAGAGCGCGGCAGGCGAGGCGAGGCCAGAGAGGGTGGTGGTGGTGACGGCGGCGAAGGTCAGGATGGGGGAGGCGACGCGGAGTCGCGGACGGGCACAGGGGCCATGGGCAGCAAGTTGCACGTTGGCGCCGGAGACAGGGCTGCAGAGAGGGAGCGGTAGGCGCGGGCGCGGCGCATAGCACGCTATATAGCTGACAAGACTGTCATTGGATTGGTAGATTGGCAGTGGGAACAGCCCGAAACATTGAAAGCAAAGTCAGGCTTCAAGACCGGTGGGAGAGGTATTAGGCTTAAGGGCTAGAGGAAGGAGTGGAAGTATTGAATGGAAGCGTCCAAGATATATCCATCATCCATAGATGACCCAGTGCAGTAGTGGGTAATTACCGGGAGAATGAGATTCTCGTCCTCATCTCTCTACAAGCGGGTTAGTACATACAAATATTGGACTACTCGGGGCCCACGGTTACTAACCTTGTGGAGCCGCTTGTGACCAGAGGTGAAATTATCACTGCTAATGTCATAGTAGTTGTCCTTGTTGTTGTTCTTGTTGTTGTTCTTGTTGTTGTTCTTGTTGTTGTTCTTCTTGCTGCTGTTCTTCTTGCTGCTGTTCTTCTTCTTGCTCTTCTTCTTGCTCTTTTTTCTAGTCTTCTTCTTCTTCTTCTCCTTGCTCTTCTTCTTATTGTTCTTCTTGTTCCTGTTGTTGCAGTGACTTGATCTCGTGTCTTTATGCGATGAATAAGGAAGTGTGTCTAAAGAGAGAAAATAACAAGATCATAAGGACAGGATCAAGGTCTCGTCGTAACGCCTGAGGTCTTCTTAGCAACTCAAGTGAAGGTGATGGAAGAGAAGACTCAAGAGAAAGGGACTGAATCTGAATGCCGGACGGGCGACTCACAATAAGTAAACAATAGGTGTCTGTCCGTCGCAACCTTCTACCGCTACCACTGCTCAGGTTTCAACTCCTTACTACGCCAGAATCTACTATAGGCCAGGCAGATGTCAGTCTTTGGGTAGGTACGAACTACTACTTGCTTACTGATCTTGCTGTTTAGCTTACGCCGCACGGAGTCGGGAGCCGCAGTAGTGTGGAATTTGCTGACATAAGATGCCTGCTGAATCCCAAAAAAAATTTGCAGAGCGAAGGTCACTCAAGAGAACAAAACCTTCAACAACAAAAACAACAAAACAGTGAGGCACACCAGATTTGAACTGATAACCTTGAGGAGTCTCCTATAAGCTTTTACAAGCTTTTTCTGGAATCTCACACGCTACCGTTGCGCCAGCGCCCCATTTGGTTCGTTGGAAGTACATGTGCAGAGACAAATCATATAGTGTCAAGATCCAGGGGGCGGGGTCGGATCGGCGTGCGGGGCCCTGATCCCTGCAGGGGGGTCCTTGCAGCTTACATAATCAGTCCCTACGTACCGACGTACTATGTATGTGGCCAGTGGTGGACGGGCAGTGGGCAACGGACACCTAGAAACCATATGGCTAAGCCCTATGCTTCTTTCATCCGCTAAGGCTGTGATGGACGTGAAGACTTCTTCGAAGCTCCAGCAGAAGGGTTCGAGGTGTTTTCAAAGCAAAGGAGCTCTTCAGGGTGAGCATCAAGTGTTGTGTGATGTAGTCAAAATAAGTAGTACTATGTACTATTTATTACAGGGGTTTAAAACTGGAGACTTTCCGAAGAGGTGGCACCCGGGCCCACGCACAACAAGCCCGTCTACACCAAGGTTTCCCCACAAGCAAATACATTCAACCGCGACAACTTTCAAAAGGTCATGTACATAGTATATCCTACCCAACTCTATCCCTACCGATTGCTCTCGCCCTCCTCCGTCTATATTCAAGAGTGATCAATACCTACCTAACCTAGGCACATCATGCCTCCGAAACCCCAACCTCAGCCGCAAAAGGCGACCTTCAGCCTGCCCCTCGCATATCGACTATTCTTCCTCTTCATCGAGCCCGTCTCGGCCCTAGTCGGCGCCTACTACGCCCACTTCCAACAGAACGACTACCTCGTCCTGACCGACCCCTCCTCCTTCGCATCTACGGCCAACAGCAACAGCATCATCATCCCGACGGCGACCTCGGTCGTCCTATCCCAGCTCGCAAATCTCTACCTCCTCTTCGCCCTCAACGAGGCTCTCGTGCTGCGCGCCACCTCCGACCTGCGCGTCTGGAAGACCGTGCTGTTTGTGCTCCTCCTCGCCGACCTGGGCCATCTCTACAGTCTCAAGGCATTGGGCCGCCCGGAGATTTACTTGCCCTGGAATTTCATGAGGTGGAATGCCATCGACTGGGGTAATATCCCCTTTGTCTACCTGGGCGCGACGATGAGAACCGCATTCCTCGCCGACGTGGGCATGGGACCGTCCAAGAACAAGAAGCTCATTAAGCCCAAGAAGGGCTAAGAATAAGAGGTATTCGCGTTTATCATCCATATCTGTAGAGATACCTGCAGCTTGTTGAGAAATTTTGCGGGACAACACCTGCCAGAGCCGATGTCCTTCACGAAAGCAAGGTGCCACTGCAAGGTACCAAAGGATTTCTAGAGTACTCGAGCTCAGGCGAGGTCTGGGCCTTTGAATGCTACACCCTGGACCCTCTAGACTCCCCTTTGTCGATGACAAGCCCTCCACGGCTGGGGAAGACGCACCAGCATGACTTCGGTTGTGTAAAACTCTCAGCTGGGTGTTTGTGTGGTATCTCTGCGCCGGATCGGCCTCGATGGGACGACTTGCTGCACATTGTGCAAGCCACACCCGTGTTGAGAAAAGCGATATCCCAATTCCGTCGAACAGGACACAGCATCGCGCTTCAAGGTGGATGGGATAGGCGTCCCCATGACTTTATCGAATCGAGGGAACTGTGCTTGTATAGGCATGTGGTAATGGCGTCGTCCAACTGCCCTCCCACTCCCGGGAGTCACACCTTGAGAGAGACTGGACTGCGGAAAGATGTTGATGAGAAGCTCCCCCCCGCGAGGGAGGGGGGTTGTCGGCGCCATGATCAAGCCAAAGCTGCGTCAAACAGCCAGGACTTGATACCACCTCGGAGCGTCATAGTGGCAGCAGAAAAACGCGTCAATGCATACTTTAGGCTCTTGCCGGTCACCGAAAAACGTCTCTAATGACATGCACGCGCTTCTTGGATAGACCGAGAAGCTTCATCGTCCTCCTCCCCGTGCGGTGAGTACGTGAGAAATGGACGGTGCTTGGAGCTCACCGAAAGCGATAATTCAAAGTGGGAATTTGGATGCAATTCTTTTAAAAGGTTCGGATCGGTCTGCTTCCTGCCAAGCAGCAAATTGCACTAGATTTAAGACTTGCCCTGCCTATGACAAGAACAAAGAATATATGCCAAACAGGAAGACATCTACCTGCCGGTCTTTCCCCGTCTTGTGGCTCAAATGCTGCCTCACGAAGCAGCACTAGGAAGGTTTGTGAGGGTAGTTTATACAGGTTCATCATTCATGCCAGTTACCAGTAACAATCTATCTGGTCATAGGTTATATCAGAGAGTGAGCCAAGGACGCTATTTACCTCAATGGACAGCCTTCGGTGTTGACGCTACCCACACATAGTAGCCTGCGGGACTGTGAGAACCATTCTTTAGCAAAATACCAACATCTTGATAGCAAGAGGGCCAATCTTTGTATTAGTAGCCAGTCGGACGCAAGCATCCTTGCCGTGGTGCACACAAGTATGTAGCATACCAAGGGCTTTCCCATGATTCCCTTTTCACGTATCCAGTCTATGTAATCCCAAACCAAGTATCAGCGAGCCCAGAGCACCCAAAGAAAAGACTGTCTTCCCGGTCTTGTATTCCATTCTCAGTCCACTACCGTCAAAAATGCTCAACTCAGCAGGGACCGCTTGGCTTTCGTGTTTTCCAATTTGCGGACTGCACCTATTCGAAGCAAGAGCACCCGCTTTCCCACACGGAGGGACGCGTCCTGTCGCATATTCTATACCTCCTTCTAGAACGCTGAATAACCTAATTCAAAGGGCCTTGGCCATCCTCTTGGACATGCTGTTGGTAATAGAGATTAGTTTCCGTCATGATCAGATTCCTTCGCGGGAAAGGTTTGAGAACTTACAAATCATAGAAAGCAAACTGGCTCGGCTGGCTACCGAAATCGTAAACGAACCGACTAGCCAGGTACGAGCCGAAGATGGCGCAGAGGTATGCGTCAGGGACCCTCTCGATAATGGTATCGAGGCCGATCTTGTCGAGCAGCAGTTGCGGGAGCGCATCCCGAAGGATGACCCTGCGAATTTGCTCGCTCTTCCAGAGATCGCTATGCTGCAACTCCTCGTCGAGCGTCGTGATGGCGACAGACAACTTGTCAGACAGGATCGAGCGCGGAATGCCCGTGGCCTCGTGCTCGCGCCAGATGGCCTCAAATTCGAGGCGGGCATTCTCGCAAATCTTGGCCTGCACCTCTTTGACATAGGCCTGGTAAAAGGCGGGTGCATTCCCATTGGCGTCGTGACACATGTGTTGAACGAAACCGGCGTCGTCGAAGCTGAGGGAGGCAAGCACCTCGAGGGAGGAAGACGTGACGCCACCCTTGTTGGCACTGGCGTCCTTGAACACAATGCAGCCAGCTTCCTCCAGACGCAGCTTGGCGTCCTGCGTGATGAAGAGATTGGCACCTTCGACAATGTACGGAATGGTCGACTTGCCGTCTTTGATAATCTTGGACACGCTGACGAGGTCAATCGACTCGGGGCGGCCACCGCAAGGAACAAACATATCTGTCAAGCCGGTGTCGCGGAGGTGATATGTGTTACGGAAGGTCGTGCCGTTGCCCACGAATTCGCCTGTGGGCAGAGTGATGTTGGAGTCATCGCACAAGATCCGGAACCCATCCTTTGACAGCTTTGACATGTCAAACTGAGAGATCATGACACGCTCGGTGGCAAGACGGATGAGCTCCTGTTTATCGAGTCCGTTGGGGTCCACGAGTACACCGGATCCGTCCACTATCGAAGTGTACTTCTCATTGCTTAAAAGAATCTCGTTGCTTCCCAGATCGCCATCGGGTCCACCGGTCTGCATTTTCTTGACTGTGGAAGGATCAAGCTTCAACTTGCGGTAGACACCCTTGACATACTCGCGCACACTCAAGGTCGTCATGCCATACGAGTCGTGAGGAATACCGCCCAAGGTGGGTGACTTGCCGGTGAAGAAAGACTTCCACCACTTTGCACCACGAGTTCGGGCATGTTCTGTGGCCCAGTCGACGAGATCCGCCGTATTCTCGTCAGGGCCCATGAAAATCATTTCCTGCTTTCCGTAGAGATCCACAACAGGGTTCTTGATGCCGGGCGTCTCAGCGGGCAGAAGAAGGTCTAGAATGCTGTCGATGTACTTTTCAAATGCTTCGCGCGTCCTGTTCTGCTGTTTCGGATCCAGCAGAATCACACCCTTTGAGCCACCCTCGGGAATGTCCTTGTTCTTGCGCTGCTGGGTACTGGCGAGACCATAATTCTCATCGAACATGTTCCGAGCATTGATCGCGTAGGCTTCCTTGCTGCGAGACTTGACAATACGAATACCACCACGGGCCACGTCCTTGAAGCGGAGGTGGAAACCGCGAGATTCTGCTGAGATGACAAGGAACATACCGAATAGGGGCTTTGAGTACTCGGCGTTTGGTAAAAAGGACGGATCAAGACGGAAGCTGAGTGCCACCTTGGTAGGTGTAAAGTAGTTGGTTTTCAGAATCGCGTTGTTGAAGGTCCGGAAAGCATTCATGACCATCTCTTCATGCTCCGTGGACACTTGGCTGGTAATGGCCGTCTTGAGCTTTTCATCAGACAAGACCTCGATGGCCGGTGTGGGTGCAACATTGTGTTGGTCGAATTCGGGCCCGACGCTGAGATGGACGCTGGCGAACGAATTGTATAATGTCTTGATGAGCTGAGGGTAGGAGGTGATGATTTCGAGTATGTAGTCTGGAGTGAAGGTCTCCGTTCTCAGCCTGCGCTTCAATTTCGATAAGATTTCCTGATGTGCGCTATTCCGAATGTCCAGAGCTTCGGACAAGGACACGTATTCTGATCCCAGACGGTTCAAAAAGTGTTGAGTGAACACCCACACGCAATGACCGTAGATGGTCTCTTGAAGACTCAATTGTCCAGAGGCGAATAGAGAATGCAACTTTGTCTGGGGGATGCAGTAAAGAAGCGATACCTCCTTCATGATCTGGTGAATAGATTGATCAAAGGGAGGAAAGTCACCACTGTTGAGGTTTGTGGCAGGCCTGAGATAGATA